GGTTTACGGCTTGAGGATTCATCGTAAGCGACTTTGAGTTTGTCTTCGTATCTTCATTTTCATTTCTACTACTTGGTTTGCCTTGTTATGTTTATAATGTAAAATTAGGTTTGCTTTGGTTAGATGATTGACTGATTTGTATTCGGTGGCTCTGGTTTATTACAATTGATCATCAAAGAATCTTATTCTGGAAAATTTCTTTCTACTGATGAATTAGGATTTTTTATAATGTTCATCATTTAATTTCCTTGCTCATGTACTTGAAAACAGACTCAAAAGCTACGGTTTAGTATAATAGATGATTATATGTCCATATTTTGAGCTTTTAGATATCATTTTTTGGTTAAATATAATATCTAACTATATATACATACATGACTCTTTTATCATTGGATCAACATATGATTATATGTGCTTATTTTGAGCTTTTGGAATATGGTCTTGGCAACTTAAAGTTCACATATTTTTCACAGTTAATGCATAAGTGGAGTTCTAGACTTTATTTTTTATTAAGTTCTTTAATGCAGACAGATTCATTGGTTGAGATGAGTTTTCACATACCCAATTCCAACATTCAGTTTGTTGGGGATGAAAACAAGTCTTATGGGTAAGTCTTTTTTTTCTTTCTGGTGGTAGTTGGAAATTTGAGCCAGTTTTTGACTTACAGATCATATAACCATGCTCTTGCATTCAAGTTTAAGGATGTTGAATTAGTCAACTGTGTTTAAGTCTTAGATATATGGGCATAACCAAGTTTAAGGCTCTTGCATCAGATGGTTTCCGGTGGAGAAAATATGGGCAGAAAGTTGTGAAGGGAAATCCTTATCCAAGGTCATATATTTATATATCCTTCATTAGATATACATTAGATACGTGGTCAAGTTTGCGTACATCTTACTCTCAACCCCACTTCCAAGCGGGACATACTGGATTCGTTTCGCTTGGTTTAGACTTTAGATGCGTCATTTATTGTTCAAATTATACATACATATATATATATATATATATATATATCTTTGGAGATTAAGTCTAACATCAGAAAATGTTGTGTTTAAGTGCAGAAGTTACTACAGATGCACTGGTGTTAAGTGCAATGTTCGGAAACATGTGGAAAGAGCATCAAATGATCCAAGTGTTTTCATCACTACATATGAAGGTAAACTACATATAAAGGTAAACTATATATATATATATATATATATATATATATATATCTTTCTTGATGTCAATTTTAAAGTTAATGATCAAGGCAATCTCTCTGTCTTGGGTGATGCAATATTTTGCTTTTCTTGTTAAACTTAATCTAGCAACAGTTGTGGGCACCTGGAACATAATCCTCTATTTCATTTTTTCCATTAGCCTTGTGTATTTAATACTCCTATGATAGTATCCATGTTTAGGGACTCCAATATGTTAAACAGTTAAACGTGCAGTAACCACTGCTTTTCTTCTTATTCTATTAGAGTTGTTGTCAAAGAATTATATGATCAGCTTACTAGCTCTCTTCATAACTAGCAAAGTGAAATCTTAAGCATAATAAAGACTTGCACAAATCAATAAGAAAACTATAACAGATCAACCATAAGTACAAAGACTCATTTTTTCTGTTTTAGTGCTTTAGGCTGCTTGCTATTCATACGATGTCCAAGTTCATGAAAACCCCAGTTGTAATCATGGTATGGTGCCACCTGTAGTGGCTATGGATTAATGTAACTAGGACCAGGTGATTGGTTAAACTCCACTGAGTAGCTCTCAGGTGGCACAACTACATAGTTTGGTTCATGAGTTGAAGCTGTTGTAATCCTTTTGAACATAACATGCCTATTTTGATTTAAACCACATGAACATGCCTAAGTTGAAACCCATTTTAAGCTGTTACTCACAACCACTTTCTCCCCCCCCCCCAACATGACTTTGAGAGGGTAATATTGGCTTTGGTTTGGTTTAGAGCATGCAATTGTTGTTCCTCTTGTTATAAATCATTTTCTGCATAACGGTCTTTTGTTGATTTAGATGGAGTATTGATTTTTCCTATTGTGAATGAAGTTCTTGATCTAGTTCAGTTTTTGCATCTTACCGATAGTTGATTATGATGAATGGTGATGTAAGATGTTTATTGTTATTGTATAGATTTTCGGCTCAATTTTTTGTTTCGTTTTAGTGTTTATAAGTTTTTGCCCGATTCTCTGTTAAATAGCAACTCATTTGATCTTTAGAAGGATATTTTAGTAATGGAGGGAGTGTAGATTTATCCAGCAATTCTTGATATGTTATATGTGATATGAAACATGTCCCCTTACTCTACCTTATGTTGAATATATTAAAGGTTTAAAGTGCTGGGATCAGACAAGTATCATACGAACACACACACACACACTCAGTTCTCACCAACTGTAACAATCAAGAACACAAGAATTTAAGGTGGTTCAGTCTAATCTGACCTACATCCACACACATGTAACTAGGAGTGTTTATTTCTTCTATGTAGTGTGTATTTTACAAATACAGAGTAATCTCTTATATAGAGATGGAAATGTTAACAGGTCAAAGAAAGGAACCATAAAGCATGCCATAAAATATGGCTGTCCATCAACCACACAAAACATGGTCCTTAAACACTGGCTTCTTGTTTTCTGGCACTACCTTTTTGACCAGCCTAATAAGTGGCTTCACACGCAACAATCTCCCATTTGAAGCCACAGAACAATCTTCACCTGTGCTTCAACTGTGTATCTGTATTTCTGTAAAAAATATAGCTCCTTCCTAGTTACCCTGGCCTTCTCTTCAATTAACCTGAAGGCCAGTTGAAGTTATGCAAAGCTTCAACTTCTCTAAGGTAACAACCTTAGTCAACATATCAGCTGGATTTTTAGTTCCTTTTATCTTCTTCAACTTCAGAGTGTCATCATTAATTTTTCCTTTGATGAAGTGATATCTCAGCTGTATGTGCTTTGTCTTCGAGAAAGTTTTTCAACCATATAAGCTCTTTGCTTGCTTCAGCAACTGCCATATACTCTGCTTTTATGGTTGAAAGGGCAACACTTTTCTGGAGTTTAGACATCCAACTCACTGCAGTGCCTCCCACTGTAAAGACATACCCTGTGGTGCTTTTGTATGACTCTTTACAACCACCAAGGTCTGCATCTGCATAACCCTTCAGAATGACATCTTTCCTCTTAAAATACAATGCCATCTTTTTGAAGTTCCCTTTAAGTATCTTAACAACCATTTAACTGCTTCCCAATGTTCTCTCCCCGGATTGGATATAAAACGACTAACAACCCCCACAGCATGAGTTATATCTGGTCTCGTGCATACCATTGCATACATGAGGCTACCAACTGCAGATGCATAAGGAACTTTAGCCATTTCTTTCTTGTCTTCATCTGATTTGGGTGACTGAACTTTAGAAAGCTTAAAGTGACTAACCAAAGGTGTGCTTCTGATCTTGGCATCTTTAAGGTTGAATTTCTCTAACACTTTCTCAATGTATTTCTCTTGAGATAGTGTTAAAGAACCATCTTTGTTTCTGAAAATACTCATCCCGAGTATTTGGTTTGCAGCTCCTAAGTCTTTCATTTTGAACTCTTCAGACATTTGCCTCTTTAACTTCTTGATCTCTGACATGTCTGAACTGGCAATCAACATATCATCTACATAGAGTAGTAGAATGATATAAGAACCCTTAAACTTCTTGATGTAACAACAATGGTCATTGTCACATCTCTTGTAACCAATCCTTCCCATAAAGTTATCAAACTTTAAGTACCATTGTCTGGGCGCTTGTTTCAGACCATACAAACTCTTCTTAAGTTTACACACCAAGTTTTCTTTGCCTTTAACCTGAAAACCTTCTGRTTGTGTCATGTAAATGTCTTCATGTAGGTCACCATGTAGAAAAGATGTATTGACATCTAGCTGCTCTAGATGCAAGCCTTCTGCTGCTATAATACTGAGAACAAGCCGGATGGTAGTCATCTTCACCACTGGAGAGAAAATTTCATTGAAATCAATTCCCTCTTTCTGTTGAAACCTCTTGACTACTAATCTGGCTTTGTACTGTTTAGTACCATCATGTTCATCCTTGACCCTGAAAACCCATTTGTTCTGAAGAGCCTTCTTTCCAGATGGAAGCTTCGTTAGAAGCCAGGTCTTGTTCTTCTCAAGCGACTTCATTTCATCTTTCATTGCTAGCTCCCAATGCAATGAGTCTTTCAACCTCATAGCTTCAGAGTAACACTCGGGTTCACCATTTTCTGTCAGGAGAATGTAGTTGACAGATGGTGAATATCTTTCTGGTGGTCTGGTGACTCTGGAAGATCTTCTTGGTTGAACTTGAGGTGTGACTGGGGATTCTGGAGTTGGAGGACTGGTTTCTTCATCTTCAGAATCATTACTGGAATTATCCCCTGAGCTCCCACTGTCAGTTGAATCATCCCCAGATTCAGGGATTTCGACTAAAGCTTCTTTCTTCTTTTCATCACCTTCAAACTCAACATATTTCTTCTGAACTTCTGGACTTTCGTTGTTTCTGTCTTTGTATAACTCAGTTTCGTTAAAGGTGACGTTCTTGCTTCGGATTAGCTTTCTGTTTTCACTATCCCAAAGCCTGTAACCCATTTSKTCTGACCCATAAYCAATGAATGTGCACTTCTTGGTCTTTGAATCAAGTTTATCCCTGTCACCATCATTTAACAAACTGTAAGCACTACAGCCAAAGACTTTCAGGTGTTTGAGACTTACTTCCTTCCTTTGACACATTTCTTCTGGTAATTTAAAATCCAAGGGAACACACGGTGAACGGTTGATCAAGTAGGCTGCAGTGTTAACTGCATCGGCCCAGAATGTCTTAGGTAAATCGGCATTCAACCTTATGCTCCTAGCCCTGTCATTCAGAGTTCTATTCATTCTTTCAGCTACACCATTCTGTTGAGGGGTTCCTGGGACCGTTTTGATCATCTTTATCCCTTACTTGGCACAATAGTTGACAAACTCCTTGCTTATGTATTCACCACCATTATCCGACTTCAGGCATTTTACCTTCAAATCAGTTTCATTTTCAACAGCAAATTTCCATATCTTAAAAGTATCAAATACATCAGATTTATTTTTAAGAAAATAGACCCATACCTTGCGTGTTGAGTCATCGATAAAGGTTACATAGTAGTTTTTGCCTCCTAGAGATGAAACTGGTGTTGGCCCAAATACATCCGAGTGAACAAGCTCCAACTTCTGAGCTTTTGGTGTCTTCCCTGTCTTYRCAAAASTAACCCGCTTTTGTTTCCCGAGAACACAGGATTCACAAAATTCAGTTTCGACTTTCTTCAAGTCTGGAAACTTCCCTTTCTGAGCCAACATCTTCAATCCCTTATCGCTCATGTGTCCAAGTCGTTGGTGCCATAAATTTGATGGACTCGGATTGGTGGTTATGGTATGAACACCATCACAAGGTATCTCAACCATGTATAGAGTGTCTTTCTTCTTTCCTTTGGCAATCACCAAGTTGCCTTTGATCACTTTCCATTGTCCACCCCAAAGTGAACATTAAGCCCTTCATCGTCCAACTTACCAACTGAAATCAACTTCCTCCTCAAGTTTGGAATAACCCTGACATCTTTCAATGTCCAGGTGGTCCCATGGAGGTCTTCAAATCTACGTCTCCAATACCCGTAATATCAAGCACTTGATCATCGGCCAAACAAACTTTGCCAAGATTACCTGTTTTTGCAGGTTATTGACCATTTCTGGGCATGAGACAGCATGGAAAGAAGCACCCGAATCCATAATCCAGGATTCTACTGAATTTTCAACACAACATATGAGAAAATCTCCTGATTCTTCAGAGGATATATTGTTTACTTCTTTCTTTGTAGCTTGTGGTTTTGGGCATTGGCTTCTAAAGTGACCTTTTTCTTTGCAGTTCCAACATTCAATATCCTTTCGGTTCTTGGACTGCCCCCTTATTCTGGATTTTGACCTGCCTCGATTTTGTCCCCTATCATTCCTTCTTCCTCTACTTTCTGTATGTAACAGAGAACTAGAACCGGAAGATTCTCCATTACTTCTTCTTCTAATGTCTTCATTTAAAATCAAGTCACGAATGCTATCAAACGTTAGCTTAGTAGTACCGGATGCACTACTAACGACTGTGACTGTGCCTGACCAAC